GCTTCACCAAGTCCAGCAGCTGGCGGATGGCGTCGCCAGGCGGCACCCACACCCCCGCCGCCGCGCGCTCCAGCCCCGCCGCCGTGGCAGGCAGCTCCAGCTGCAGCTGCAGGCGGGGAGGCAGGGCAGGCACGCAGGAGGGAAGGAGAGGGCGTAAGTTGCAGGCTGGATTCGATTGCAGAAACTAAAAGTACAATGATGGGGAGGAGGGCAAGGTGTGCGCAGCGCCAGCGGCGGCAGAGGCGGCAGGAGCGGGCCCAGCCGGGGGCAGGCAGGCAGGGCATAGCGGGCGGGCAGGCGCCCAGCGGCAGCCCCACCTGCTCGCCCTCCAGCTTGGAGGGGACCGAGGTGAGGATGGTGAGGAGGGCCATCAGCCCAGCCATGGGCGCCTCCCAGTTGGTGCCTGCAGGCAGGCAAGCAGGCAGGCAGGCAGGTTGGTTGGTAACGCGGCAGACAGGCAGGCCGGAAGGCAGGTTGGCAGGCAGGCAGGGAGCCAGGCCGGAAGGAAGGCAGCCAGGCAGGCAGGCTGGTTGGCACGCATGCAGGCTGGTTGGCAGGCAGGTAGCCAGCACATGGATCAGGCAGGCAGGGAGCCAGCCAGATGGAGCCGGCCGGCGGGCAGGCCGGCGGGCAAGCAAGCAGGCAGGGCGGGCGCGCGGCAGGCGTCGCCGCTGCCACCGTCGCCACACCCACCCACACACCCACCCGCCGCCGCCACACCCGCACGCGCTCCACCCCTGGCCCACATCCGCGCCACCTCGCCACCCCACCAGCGCATCCCACCTGCTTGCAGGTCCACACATTGCAGCAGCTCCAGCACCATGCCGCCCACAGCATACTCTGGCAGGTGCTGCGCCACGCCCGCGCACAGCTGCCGCACCAGTTCCTGCTGCTCCCCCGCGGGCAGCGCGCCCCGCACCGCGGCCTGGATGACGGGAGACACGCCGCGGGAGAGCCATTTGGCCATGCGCCCTGCAGGAGGGGGTGGCGCGGCGGGAAGGTAGTGGGGAGGTGGCGAGGAGGTTGTGGGGAAGCAGCGAGGAGGTGGTGTGGAGGTAGTGTGTGTGTGTGTGTGTGCGCACAAAGTTTGGGGGAGCAGCCGGGGCCCAGGCCAGCGGGAAACGCACACACGGCGAGAGGGGGAGGTGCGTGTGGAGGTCAAAGCAGCCCCTGCCAGCCGGCCCCAGCCCCGCCGCCCAGCCCCGGCGCGGGCCAACCCACGCCGCCTCCCCGCCCCGCCGCCCGATGCACCCACCCACCGGGGTCACTGCGAGCGGCCATGCGGCGCAGGAAGCAGGCCACCACGCGCGCCAGGCAGAGCAGCGCCATGGACGCGTTGCGCCTGTCGCGCAGCAGCTTGTGCAGTGCATCGATGAAGCCGTCGATAGAGGTGACCAGCTGCTCGTGCCCCTCCAGGCACAGCAGTACCGCCACCACAGGGAACCCCGAGGCGACCTGCAGGCCGCGGCGGCATGGGGTGGGTGGGTGGAGGCAGGCGGGGGAGAGGGAGCGGGGAGCGGGAGAGGCCAGGGGCCGGGGCAGCGGCTGGGGGGCGGCAGCGCGGGGATTTGGGGGAGGCGGCGCGCCCGCGCGGGCGGTGCCCGGCGGGGCGCTGCGCGGGCCAGCAGCGCCGCCATGTCGCCCAGCCCCCTCGCATCTGTCACATCTGGCCCCTCCTGCAGCAGCCCTCTGCAGCCCAGCGCAGCCGCTGGCGACACCGAACCACAACCCTCACCTCATAGCCCTCTGCTGCCCAGCGCCGGCTAGCGACACCACCCCACACCCCTCTGCAGCCCAGCGCAGGCTGGCGGCACCACCCCATAGCCCTCTGCAGCCCAGCGCAGCAGCTGGCGGCACCACCCCACAACCCTCACCCCACAACCCTCTGAAGTCCCAGCGCAGGCGAGGGCCCTTGCAACACTACCCCCACCCCCACCTGCTTGCTCTGCTTGGACGCCCACTTCTGTAGGTCTGTGCGGAGCACCGTCACCTGCTGCGCAAACTTCTGGCGCAGCGCGGCGTCGCACCCCGCCCCAAACTCCCTGCGTGCATGGGGAGGAGCATGGGTGGGGTGGCGGGCGGGCGAGGCGAGGCGAGGCGCGGTAATGCAGAAATGCAGGCAGGTGGGTATGCACGGAGGGCAGGAGTTGGAGTGCAGCAAGTGCACCCTTCTCGTGCTGCGGGCAGGATGGCTGCGCGGCGCAGGCCGGCCGCCCGAAACCAATCCAGAGACTCGCCCGGCGGCTCACCCCGCCCGCCCGCCGTCTGCCAGCGGCTGCAGCACCCCCGCCAGCATGTCGCAGATGGCCTGCTGCACCCGCGACTTCTTGTCTGGAGCCACGTGTGTGAGCGGGTGGGCCAGCCGCAGGAATTCCACGCTGGCCTCCAGCTGGCGACAGGCGGGCAAGGGGGCAAGGGGGCAAAGGAGCAGGGTGGGGATTTGGTTTGGTTGAGGTGGATGGCGGCGGAGCGGCGTTGGCGGTTGGCAGCGGGCAAGGGTGCGTGCGGCGTGGGCATGCAGTGCAGCTGCAGCACATGTGGGGGGCCGTCTCCACCACCGCCTCCCCGCCCAAAACCACGCCCGCCCCTCCCCAGCCCCGTGCCACACGCCCCGCCAAGGGCCACACGCAGCAGGCGGGCGCGCGCCGCGCACCTGCGCTGAGCTGGCGGCGCCGATCCTCACGAATCGCATGCCGTGGCAGAGGTCGTACAGCTGCTGGCGGGCGGGGGAGTTGGCGTCTGCGCGTATGAGCTTGTTCAGCTCCGCCTCCCAGCGCTTGGAGATGGGGCCCAGGCGCAGCGTGCTCAGCGCGCCCAGCATCTCCGCCGCCGCCAGCACCACCTGCGCGCGGCGGGCGGGCGGGCGGGGCGGCGGCTGGGCACGGGCAGGCGGCTGGGCCCTCCACCCGCTCCCTGCCAGTGCTCTGCTCCCAGGCGGCCTCTTAGGCGCCTGCCCATGCCAAGCAATGCCATGATGCAGCCCCAATGCTGCCCCAGCCCTCACCCTGTCCTTGTGATGGTACGGGTCCGGGTAGGACAGGTATGTGTCAGCACCCAGAAGCCAGTCAAAGGCCACGGCCTCCAGGTCGGCGCCCTGCTGCGCGCTGAGCACGCTGGGCGCCGCCCCCGCCAGCTGCCCCGTGGCTTCCAGGAACAGCGCCTCGATCGTGAGCTGCAGCAAGGCAAGGGTGTGGTGGTGGGGAGGGGGGCGTGGGGCGGGGGCGAGTGGCGGGGAGGCGAGGGCGCCAGCTGCACAGGCGGGCAGGGATGCAGGGCGGAGCTGCACAGCAGAGACGCAGGGCCTCTGTGGGGTGCCACCAGACAAGACAGCGCACCCGCTTGCGCTGGCTGACGGCGTCGTTGCGCTGGCCCAGCTCCGTCAGCATGGCGCTGCGCCAGCTCAGCAGCTGGCCCATCACAGATGGGCCCGCCGTCGCCGCCGCCGCCTGCACCTCGGCGGGGAGCGGGAGCGGCAGCGGCGTGGGTGCTGCCGCCAGCAGCAGCGTGGGGTGCCGAGAGACAGCATCGCCAAGGCATCCTAGTCCCAACCCTTCTCGTAGCGTCTGTCATGCGGCACTGAAAGGCAGCGGACACATGCGGCTGGAGCACGCGCAACCGCTTGCCGCCACCAGCGGCCGCCAGCCGCCGGCGGACCTGCAGGCCCTCCAACAGCTTGGCATACGCCGGGTCGCCCGCATCGGCGCCCTTGTCCTGCACGGCAGGAGCAGGTTTCTTACGGAAACCCCCACACTGATCACATTTGGTCGAGAGCACGCTACCGCCCTGGCAGGCGCCTCATGCTCACCACGGCCTGCTCCGCATAGGCCTGGAACTGCAGCAGGATCGCCTCGCCCACGGAGGCGGCAAACGCCATGGGCCCACGCTGCCTACACGCCTGTACACGCTTTCTGATGCGTCGACACCATTCTGAGGTGATGCGCGTGAAGAAGACGCGATCGGGGGGCAACAGAGAGCTGAGCGTGCGCCGGCGGCGGTGACGTGGCGACGCCGCCCTCCGCATGCTCCCTGTTTCGCCCACCGCAGTGCTCCCTGTTTTCAATTTCAAGGCGGGACGTATCTGAGGGTGAACGCGTCATTTTGACCCGACTCAAGGTGCCTTCTACCGCAGCAGATGTTGCGTCTCACGTGTTACAGCGAGTGCGGTGAAAACAGGTGAGGAGGAAGCAGTATAGCATCGGTACAGGATGAAGAGGGTAGTCACGAGGGGTCGCGGAGTGTGAAGGGTGGAAATTATCCAACCGAGCAATGAGTGGCGGTCAGCCTCCTGCTTGGCACAACATCGTCAGCGGCGGTGGTGGCGGCGGCCGGCGCCGTCCGCCGGCCCAGCGGCGGGGTTTCAAGCCCAGTGGAGGAGGGGGGCGGCCCAGTAGGGGCGGTCGGGCGGGGGGAACACGGGGCCCTCACATTTTTGGGTGGACTGAAGGGCGGGGTAGGGGCTGCGCCAGCAGGGGGGCCAACGCAGAGAACGGCGGCAGCCGGTTAGGGTTTGACGGCATTCTGCCAGGCCGGGGACGAATGCCAGGGCGGAGGGGTGGAACCGGGGTTGGCAAGCCGCCCGCCGGTGCAGGGGGGATGCATTTGATCCCAGTGCCCCACTTGCCGGTTGCAGGACCCACCAGTTGAGGGCGGCTTTGGCGGCAAAGCCATACTGGCCCTTGAGCTGCTTGCCATCGACGGCGGCCCAGCTCTGCGGCAGCGGGGCGGGGTGCAAACACAAGGCAGCTGGTTAGCCACACAGCCGCCCAGCATACGCCCCTCCACAGGTAAGACCAAAGCAATGCCAGTCCAGTCTCTGTCCCAGCCCTCCCAGAGCCTCACCTTGTAGCAGGCCTGGAAGGGCGTCAGCTTGGTGACGGTGCAGGTGCCTGCCATGAGTTCGTTCTCGTCATTTGCGTACTTCAGCGTCTTCGAAATCTTGGTCCAAGCGATGGAAGCAAAATTCTTCTGTATAATTGGAAATGGGAGGCCAGGCGATGTGGGAGGACAAAGTTGTTTGCGGGGCGGAGCGGCGGCATGCTGCCGCAATGGCGGGCGGCTGTGACTGCTTCCCACTCACGTTTGCGGTGTCGGAGATCTGACCGTTCTTCACCTTGAACTGGCTGCTCCAGTAATCAGGGGCTGCAAGGCAGGGGGAGAGAGGGGGGTCGATATGCATGGCCCGGAGCAGCCGGGCCGCCGGTGCAGACACTTCAGCAATGGGGATCGGGGATCAGTCGCATCGGGGATCAGCTCACCATCACAGACGTAGGCCTGGGCAGCCGCACAGAACAGCACGGCAAGCGTTACCGCGAGAACGAGGGAACGGTGCATAGTGCTTGCAAGGGGAGGGCGGGTTGGGGCCGTCGGCAGTGTGTCAACGTGGGAAGGAGTGGATTGTCTATGTAGGCAGCGCGTTTTGAGGGTTGCCGGGTTGCCGCGGCCTCGCCAGCTGGGGCGCGCAGGATTGCCAGCTGGTGGCGCCACCCGCCGCCACCACGCCGCTCGGCGCCAGTTGCCAATGGACCCAAGGATATCTGCCGCGTGCCATCATTACCTGACGGGCGTCCAAGCCTCTCTGCCTGCCGTCTGTGTGCATGCATAGCGGGCGGGCCGGGGGGGTGGGGTGGGGTGGTATTGGGCATGTGGCTGCTGCCAGCAGCGGTTCGCTGTGGATGGGCAACAACATGGCAGATGGCAGGGTCAGCGTGACTGAACAGGAACTCTAGTTGAACTCAGCGTGACTGAACAGGAACTCTAGTTGAACTGGCGAACAGGCACGTACGCTGAGGCGGCGCCCAGCCGCGGTGCAGCATCCAGGCTGACTGCCGCACCCGCTGGCAGCGGCTGGTGGGGGTGGCCCACGGGGGTGGTGGCGGTTGGGGGGATGTACAGGAGGGGGAGGGTGCATGTGGGCCACGGTGGGTTTAGTTTGAGAATGGCAAGGCTGTGCAGAGGGACGGGGATTGGTGCGGTGCACTGGCAGCTCGATGAGTGCTACCAGCATGCAAGCGGGGGGTCAGCGGTCGGGTCAAAGAAGCGCCTATGGAAGGCATGCCTCCATCAGTTCAGGGATGATGGTCATACAAATGGGTGAGGAATGGTCGCCAGTTGAAAGGGGCTCCCAGGCGGCTGGGAATGTGCGAGGCAGGGCTGCAGGCTGGCGCAGCATGCTGCATACGGTGCCAGCCGCCATCTCGCCTTCCCTGCTCCACTACGCCTCAAGAGCCAGCACACTGCGTCTGTCAGCGTGCTGCATTCAGTAGAACAGCGTGGCCATGGGATACCAGTAGGAGAAGTCGCGGCGGGTGTAGACAGACACATCCACCTTCTTGTAGACGGTGGACTTGAGGAAGGGGCAGGACAGCTTGACGACGGAGGTGAAGCCGTACTGCCCCAGGGACTGCCGCCCCGGGCCGCCCGGGCGCCAGCTCTGCGGCGGGCAGGAAGGCCGCCGGGGCGCATGGGCGTGGCGAGCGGCAGGCAGCCTGCGGCACACGCTGCGGCTTGCGGTCGCCGCCCGCATCAGCCGCCGGACCTGCTGTTGCAGCACCACAGCCCAGCCGGTTCGCCAACCACCAGCACCGGCTATACGCACAGGAGCAGCGGCGCCGCACCTTGTAGCACGCGGCCTTGGGGCGGTGCTTGACCACGGTGCAGGCGCCCACCCCTGAGCCCGTGGTCTTCACCAGTGCCATGGCCTTGCGGTAGGCGATCTCCGCAAAGTTGCGCTGCAGGGCGGGCACGCACACGGGAGGAGGGGTCACGGTGAGGTGCAGCCTGCGGCACGACACGGTCGGGCCGTTTCGGATGCGGTCAACTCCAGCACCTTGATTCAACACCTTGATATCGAGTTATCACTCACCCTGGTGATGTCATAAATGCGTCCCCTCTTCACACGGTACTTGTACAGCCAGTAGTGGGACTCTGTTCAGGGTGGGCAGGCAGCGGCAGCAGGGTTGCCCCGGGCTGAGGCACTGGCGCGGCGCTGTGGAGACGGGAGCCAGACCCCCCCACCCCCACCCCCTCCTCTGTGCCCTGCCCCCCGCCCCTCGGTGCGACCACGGTCTCTCTGGAGCGGCCCTTGCAAGAGCAGGGAGAAGACGGGAGCCACACCGCCATGCGCCAAACCAGCACAAGCCCCCCTCCCCATCACGCTCACTGTCACATATTATAGCATCACACGCTCCCAGCATCGCCAGGAACGCCATAGCGAGCAGCGTCGACTTCCGCGACATGGTGAGCTTTGCAGGGCTTTGCGCAGGCCTCCCCTGGGAGTCTCTTTTCAGAAGCTGGACATAAATTCGGCACTGGGTTGCGGTTTGCGGTGTTAGCCGTCGTGTCGGAGGCTTTGGGTGACTGCATGCCCTGCTGCCCTTGCATCTTCGGCAGAACAAAACTCACTTCCAAATTTCCAGCAACAATGCAATTTGTGGGCTGCGGCTAGCAGCAGGAGCTCTGCACGGCCGACAGCTGGGGCCCCCCTGCCACCACCGCCGCCCCTGCCGCTGCCCCAGCGCTGCCGCTGCGCTTTACAAAGGGCGGATGCGGCTGCTGCATTACATGATCACATACTACAGATAAGCAACCATTAAGCATGGTTACCGAGACTCGGCCCATCATTTGACCATCGGCGTGGTCACCGCCCCTGCCGCGCTGCACAGCGCAGCGGCAGCAGGCCCCGCAGGGAACACGGGGTCTCGGTGTTTCAATCCCTTGCCCGGCTCCTACAGCACCTTCCGATAATTACTTCAAGCCTTGGCTCCCTCCGGCCTGATCGGGGGACCTCACACTTTTTCGGCATCGTTTCCAGCCAGCCAGGGCAGCGCAGCAGCGCCAGTTGCCACCTGACACACACTGCGCGGCCCGCACGGCGGCCCTCGGCTTGCCCGACCACCCCGCCGCCGTCAGCCCGCCGCCGCCGCCCATGGCGCAGCAGCCCCTCCACAAGGCAATCTGCCACGTCGACCTGGATGCCTTCTACGCTCAGGTCAGCCCAACCACCCGTTTGGCATTCTGCTGGTGTGGTGGCCGAATGCGGGCAAGCAACACGCCCTAACTGACCGCTTTCTTCCCGAGCCCAAGCGCAGGTGGAGGTGAAGCAGCACCCAGAGCTGCGGGGGCAGCCAGTGGGGGTGGTGCAGTACAACCCGTACGGCTTACTAGAGACGCGGGGCCCTGCCGAGAATCGGGTCATGAACAGCAGCAACGGCTCGCTCATTGCCGTCAGGCGCGCTGCGCCGCGCCGCGCCGCGCCGCCTGTGTTGCTGTGGGCGGTCGCGGCCGACGGTTTGAGGCGTGCAAGCTGCCTCTCCAAGCCCGTCCTCGCACGCCGTTCATGCGTGCACACACGCACATGCACGAGCCGCCTCGCCAATGCTGCCGCCCTCCTGCCGCCGTCGTGCCGCAGCTACGAGGCGCGGGCCGCAGGCGTGAAGCGCAACATGCGAGGCGACCAGGCCCGCGCCGCCTGCCCCACCATCCAGCTCGTGCAGGCAAGCAGGGGGCCAGGCCTCTCTTGTTGGGAAGGAGCCCAGGTGGCGGCAGCGCGCGGCGGCTGGCCTCCCTGCCGCCTGCCTGCTCACCTTCTGCCACCCCCTGCGCGTCTCCGCACCGCACCGCCTAGAGGCCACCCCTGGGCCGCCTCCCGCGCAGGTGCCCACCGCGCACGGCAAGGCCGACCTGACGCTGTACCGCGGCGAGGGGAAGAAAGTGCAGGACATTCTGTCCCGCCTGGCCACGACAGAGCGGGCCTCCATCGATGAGTGAGTCGAGCCTCGGAGAGAGGGGCGCGGCTGGGGCTGGGTCTCCCCTGCCAGTTCCTCTGGCTGCAGGCGGTGTGCCGTGGGGTCGATGGCAGCAGCGGGGCGGTGCGGTGCCCGGCGCGGCGTCGGTGCCGGCGTGCCGCTGCTGGGCTGCCGCCGCGTCGCACACCCTTCAAACACAGACACACACTCTCTCTCTCTCTCACACACACACTCACTCCAGGTGTTACTTAGACCTTACGGACGAAGCGCAGCGGCGTCTGGCAGCCTGCGGCGGCATGCCTCCCCTGCCGCCCAGCGCAGGTGAGGCGCCTGCTCGGAGGCCTTCAGCGCGGGGCGTCTCTCTGCAGCGCACCGGGGCGCAGTCATGGCATGGAGCCCCGAATCAGGGGTAGCTTGCTATTCCCCTGGCGCCGGCACCCCCCCCAGGCGCCATCTACCCCCCACCTGGTGTCCCCTCCTGGTGCAGAGCAGGTGCACGTGATGCAGGAGGGCGGATTTGTGGGCGCGGCCGCCTGGTGGCAGCGCCCGCCCCACCACTGGCTGCCGGGCGAGCGGCTGCTGGCCTGCGCGGCGGCGGCGGCGGCGGAGCTGCGGGCGGCTGTGAGGGCGGAGCTTGGCTACTCCTGCTCCGCGGGGGTGGCCCACTCCAAGCTGATGGCAAAGCTGTGCAGTGGGTGGGTGGCAGCCTAGCCTATGCTGGGCACCGTTGCACCACGGCTGCGGCAGACAGGGGCTGTGGGCAGGGGCTGCCGGGTTTGGCCGCCGCCGCAGCTGCAGCTAGCCCGTGCACTGCAACCGATGTCGTCGCTGGGTGCCCCCGCCCCTGCAGCCTGCACAAGCCCGCGCAGCAGACGGTGCTGCCGGCCTCTGCGGTGGCCGCGCTGCTGGGCCAGCTGCCCATACCCAAGCTCAAGGGCCTCGGTGGAAAGCTCGGGGAGCGGGTGGGTGGCCGCACAGAGGGCGGGCTGGCGGCATGCGGCGGGCCGCCGCGGGCCGTGTTGCTTGCTCCCGCCTGCCCACCTGCCTGCCTGCCAGCCTGTCCTCCGCCCTGCTGGCCTGCATTGTAGTGTGTGCCAGCACCGCACGCACACACACTCCCACACCCCACCCTCGCCTGGCCCTCTGTGCCCGCAGGTCATGTCTGAGCTGGGTGTGGAGACGGTGGGCCAGCTGGCGGCGGTACCGCTGTCCCGCCTGGAGGCGGCGTTTGGCGAAAAGGAGGCGCAGTGGCTGGCGGCGCTGGCTCGCGGCGCGACGGGTGTGGCCCCTGGGCAGGCCCTCTCAGGCTGGCCGCCTGCTTGGCGTCCTGCGGGCGGCACGCTCCCCGTGCAGGCGCTGCGGAATTGCCGCACCCCACGGGCTGGTCCCCAGCGCCATGTTGCCTCACTGCTAGCAAAGGAGGTTGCTCCTCCCTGGCCCGCGCCAGTGGTGGCAGGCGGCGCCTCCTGCCACCTTTCTCACCCCACGCTCTGCCGTGCTGCGCTGCGCCACGCTGTGCCACGCTGCGCCCCTGCAGACGACAAGGTGGAGGAGCGGCGCCTGGCCAAGTCGGTGGGCTGCGGCAAGACCTTCCGCGGCAGGCAGGCGCTGCGTGACCTGGCCGCCGTGCACAAGTGGCTGCTGGAGCTGGGTGAGAGGGAGGGTGTGTGGAATCACACAATGTGGGGAGGGAAGGAGGGAGGAGGAGGAGCAGCAGAGCAGGGCGGAGGCAGCGCCGGGATGCGTGAACAGCTTGGGGCCTCTCGACGGCACCGAGCTGCCTGGGCTGCGTGTGTGGCGCGGCATGGCGCGGCGGTGCCGAGCATGCGCGCAGCTGCGCGGCCCATGACATGGTTGACCCGGCGCCTGCCTCGCCCTCTCGCTGCGACGGCGCTGTCGCTGCTGCTGTGGCCTGCCGCAGGCGGCGAGCTGGCTGAGCGGCTGCAGGAGGATCTGCAGGAGAACAGCCGAGAGGCCAAGCTGCTCACCGTCTCCTTTGCTCCGCAGCTGCCCTGGGTGGCCACGCAGCAGCCCGGTGGCACGGCGCTGTTCCATGCGGCGCCAGGTAAGAGGGCGCTGCTGCTGCGGCGGCTCGGGAAGAAGGCGTGCCTCGATAACGGAGCCCTTGGCACGCTTGCCGTGGCGCGCCTGTCCCCGGCACCTCCGCTGCCGCCTTTGCTTGCAGCGCCTCAGCTGCTCTCCACGAATTTGCCACGCCGCCGCCTCCACCCTCGCTCCCACCCCCGCAATGCAGGCTACCACGCCACCACCCGCTCCTGCCCGCTGCGCAAGGCGACCGCCGAGGCGATCGCCGAGGACGCTCTGGCGCTCATCAAGCGCTGGGCTGCGGAGCAGGGGCAGGGCTGGAGCCTCAGCACCATGGACGTCGCGGCCAGCAACTTTGTGGCGGTGCAGAGCGCGGCCAGCGCCATCACCCGGTTCTTCAAGCCGACAGCGGCGGCAGCAGCGGCAGCGGCGGGAGCTGGCGAAAACTCCCCTGCTGCGGCACCAGCGGCTGCGGCTGTATCTGAAGCGCCATCGGGCACATCGCCAGGCGCTGGGCTGGGTGTGCAGCAGACGGCGGCGGCAGGAGCAGCCCCGCAGGAGCAGCTGCACGAGCAGCGGGCAGGCCTCTGGCGAGAGCAGCAGCAGGGAGGGCCGGGGCAGCGTGCTGTGGAGCGGTCGCCGCAGCCGCTGCCGCCATCCATGCCGCAGCGAGGGGTGCAGCTGTGGCCGGATGACGGCCCCAGCGGCAGCGGCAGTCGCATCGCCGGCGACACGGGCGGGCTTAGCCCCTCGGCTGCAGGGCCCAGCTCTGCCGCTGGAGGCGCAGCTGCAGGCGGGGTGCACCCGCAGCAGCGCCGCCTGTCGCCGCAGCAGCGGCAGCCGCAGCAGGCACAGCAGCCGCAGCAGGCACAGCAGACACAGCAGGCGCAGCAGCTGGATGAGACGGTGCTGGCGGAGCTGCCTCCAGAGCTGCAGCGGGAGATCCGTTCAGAGCTGAAGATACAGCAGATGGTGACACACATGGAGCACCGCAAGCAGCGTCCTGTAGGCGGCGGCTGCGGCGGCGGCCGCGGCAGCAGCGCGCGCAGCCGCGGGGCGGTCAAGCGGTCGGCCGGAGGTGGCACCAGCGCCAGCACGCCGCCGGCCGGGAACCAGAGCATCGTGGCGTTCCTGAAGGGCAAGAGGGCCAAGCGCTGAGCCTGGCGCGTTGGGGAGACCGCTCCTGCCAGCGGCTGGCATGCGGCGTGGACCGCCGCAGAGTGCTGCATGCTCTTGGCTGGCCCTCAGACCCTGTACATGACTTTGAAGCAGCCTGGCCTCGGCATTTTGCAACCAATGCCCCAGCAAGCAGAGTCGGGGCGATAGGACGACACGGCGGTGCCGCCACCTGTCGATGTACTGCACTAGTCCCAGGCCATCCCCTCGGTGCTCCATCGCGCCGATCGCTTTGTGAACAGGAGCGACGCGGGCAATTGCACATTGCTGTGCCGCTGCAGAGCGCCTGGCTCGGGCCTGGGAGCTCGCCCCCATGCTTTCCGTCCGGCGTGAGCCGAGGCGGGAGGCGCCCCGCAAGCATCGCACCGCACGCACCGCCCGGCGCTGCTCGTGGCTGCTGGCCGCCGCCGCCGGCGCCACGCTGCTGGTGGTGGCGGCGCTGGCGGCGGGCTGGCTGCCGGGCCTCGGCCCCAAGCCTGCCGCGCCCACACTCCCCGACGGCCCGGCCCCAGACCTCGTGGACCAGCACCCAGCTGCTGCCTACGTGGATGAGCCAGAGCCAGAGGTGGATGAGGTGACGGCCAGGGAGCGGTACTTTCCTGCCGAGGCGGGACGCCCGCTGGAGCAGCTGCCGCGGCTGGGGCCCGACCGACTGGCCAAGTGGCTGCGGTTTGCGGAGGAGAAGAAGTGCAGCACCCGCGACGCCGACTACATCCAGATCTTCCGGGATCTGGAGCCCTTCCGGCGGGCGGGCGGCGTGGGCGCGGGGGCGGTGGCCGCCACGCTGCGCCTGCTGCGCTCCAAGGGCCTGGCCACGCTGAGCGTCAAGGCCGGCCGCGCGACGATCGTGGAGCCGGAGCGGGGGCAGGGGCGGCCGCCGCACTACCGCGTGCCCTTCTGGCAGGACCTGCTGTCGGAGTTTGAGCGGGACCTCCCCGACATGGAAGCTGTGCTGAACCTGCTGGACGAGCCGCGCAGCTGGGACGGCCTCATCTCCGGCCGCCTGCAGGGGCTGCTGGACAACGGTACCGTGACTGTGCGCCAGGCGTGGCACGCGCAGGGCTGCGACGGCGTGCGCGGCGTGGCCTCCCTGCGCCACCGCCACGGCTTCCTGCAGTCCACCCTGCTGTTCCAGGCCGAGCGCGGCCTGCTGCCCGTGTTCTCGGGCAGCAAGATCGAGGGCTGCTTTGCAGGCGCGCGCCGCAGCCCGCGCCGCAGCGCCTGGCTGCACTGCAGGCGCCTGCCAGCCTGCGCCGCCGCCGCAGGTTTTCAGCCCTCGCCGGGGGCTGCACGCCTGCGCGTTCTTCCGCTGGCCCCAGCATGCGCCCCGCTGGCCTGGCTGCTGCCCCTCTGCCCTCACCTGCAGACATTCTGATCCCCACCGCCCAGAACAACGCGGGCTGGCTGAACGACGCAGCCCTCAACTCGGGCTGCCCCATCAGCAAGCTGCCTTGGGAGGGCAAGGTGGGGTCCCGCCTGGCGCCGCCGCAGCAGCAGAGGGTGCTCTTGCAGCACCCCTTGCGTGCCTGTGCAGCCACACGGCGTGCCGCTCCCTGCCTGCAGAAGAGCAAGGGGGTGTGGCGCGGCAGCACCACAGGCGGGCAGGTGCACGAGCTCATGTCGCACAGTGAGCGGCGGCCGCTGCAGCTGCGTGCCGGCAGGCCCGGGTCTCCCGCCGTGGCCCTGGGGTTGCCAAGGGCAGGCGCCGCCTCTGGGGCCTGCACGCCTGGGCCCTGCCTGCCCCGCCCATGCCAGCTCGCGGCGCCGACGTGGCCTCACTGCGCCTGCTGCGGTCGCGCTGCGTCCATACTGTGGTCGTGCTGTGGTCGCGCCGTGGCCACGCGGTATCATGCGCACATAACTATTGTACTTCATGTACCGCATGTACCGCCTCCTGCAGCGGAGTGGCAGGGCTACCACCGCCAGCGCCTGGTGGACCTGTCCAAGGAGCACCCTGGGGAGCTGGATGCCGGGTTCACGTCATACATACAGGTGCACCCGCCGCCTCCCCGCCTGCTCACAGCTGTATACAGCTGTGATGCAGTATGCAACACCTGGTGCGCCTGCGCCTGCGCGTATCGCCTGCCCCTATGCCTGCGCCTGCGCCCGCATCTGTGCCTTGCCTGTGCATGCCCGCCTTTTTGTGAACACAGA